TTCTGGAAAGAAGAACCAGGAAGAGGGGACTGAAGAGAATGTATGTATATAATCGTCATTTCTTTTTCCCTCTCTCAGCTTTGCCCTGAAGGTGGGCCCTCCCTGTGGAGCTGTGCTTTGTTGGCAGGTCAGGCAATTAAAATTCCAGTTGATATCTCATCTGACCAGAGGCACCAAAAAGGTGGCTCTGAGGGCCTGGGAGCCGGGAGAACTCATGAGGAGGAGAGAACGAGCAGAGGGCCACCTAATTCTGTATAGGAACCCGTCCACACCACGGGCTCACACTGGACCTGTGCTTGAATGGATCAGATCCAAACCAACACAGCAAAGGCTTTGAGAACTGAGGCAACGGTGAAACCACTGCCCACAGAAAGTGAAGCATCACTAGCAGTTTGAACTTAACTGGGTTGATTGTCTGCTGTAATGAAAAAAAAATTATTCAGAGGATTTTAATTGTATCCAGAGTTTATACAACATAATATTAAAAATATCTAGGATTGGAGAGCCTGGCTGGCTCAGTCCCTGGAGCATGGGACTCTTGATCTCAGGGTCATGAATTCGAGCCCTACACTGGGTGTAGAGTTTACTTAAAAAATAAATGAAATCTTCAAAAGAGGTATCTAGGGTACAATATAAAATTACTTAACATAAAAAGAATAAGAAAGTGTGACCAGTTCTCGAGAACTGGCATTAACAAATGCCAACCCAAGATGACCCTGAATTTGGAATTACCACAGAGACTTTATTTTTTTTTTTAATTTTTATTTTTTAAACCATTTTCTTTTTTAGATTTTATTTATTTATTTGTGTGAGAGAGCGAGAGCACGCACAAGCAGGGAGAGAGCACATAAGCGGCAGGCAGAGGGAGAAGCAGGCTCCCCACTGAGCAAGGAGCCTGATGTGGGACTTGATCCCAGGACCCTGGGATCATGACCTGAACCAAAGGCAGACGCTTAACTGATTGAGCCACCCAGGCATCTCGGAATTACCACAGAGACTTTAAAGCAGGGAAGCAACTGTGCTTCATGAACTAAAGGTAAACATGCCTGAAACGAAGGAAAGGTAGACATTCTTGGTGGAGAAATAGAAACTATAAATAACCAAACAGAAAAATTTCAGAACTGAAAAATGCAATATGTGAAATTAAAAAATTCATTTGATGCGCTAACAGCAGAATGGAGATGATAAAAGAGAGAGTCAATGAACCTGAAAATCGATAGAATGTATTCAATCTAAAGAACAAAAAGAAAAACAATCGGGAAGAAAAAAGAACAGAATCTTAGGGATCTGTGGAACAATATCAAAAGTTCTAAATATTGGGGTGCCTGGAGGGCTCTGTTGGTAGAGTGTGTGACCCTTGATCTCGGGGTTGTAAGTTCAAGCCCCACGTTTGGTGTAGAGATTACTTAAAAAATAAAAATCTTTAAAAACACAAAAGTTCTAATATTTATGCCATTGGATTTCCAAAGAAGAGAAGAGACAGATTGATGCAGAAAAATGTTAGAAGAAATAATAGGTCACAAAAGACAAGGCAAGAGGGAGGAATTGCCATGGATTGGAGGAGATGAAGAAGTTGTATAACTACATGTTCTGTGGGATCCTGGAATGGATCCTGGAGCAGAGAAAGGGCATTGGTGAAAAGCTGATAAAATCCCAGTAAAGTGTGTAAGTTGGTTAGTAACATTGTACCAATGTTAGTTGCTCTGTTTTCATCATCATATCAAAGTTATGCAAGGTGTTAACATCAGGGAATGGTTGGTGAGGTATTTGGGAAATCTCTGCATTATTTTTTTGGAGCTTTTCTATAAGACTAAAATTATTTCACAATAAAAAGGTTTTAACACTTTTGGGGCACCTGGGTGGCTCAGTTGGTTAAGCGACTGCCTTCGGCTCAGGTCATGATCCCAGGGTCCCGGGATCGAGTCCCACATCGGGCTCCCTGCTCAGCGGGGAGCCTGCTTCTCCCTCTGACCCTCCCCCTCTCATGCTCTCTGTCTCCCATTCTCTCTCTCAGATAAATAAAACCTTTAAAAAAAAAAAAGGTTTTAACACTTTTAAGTGAAAGGAAAGAAGGAAGGGAGGGGTAGTGTTTACATTAATGTCAGATAAAGTACACTTCAGAACAAAGAATATGACCAGCGATAAAGAGGGACGTCATATAATGATGGAAGTCAATTCAGCAAGAAGACTTAACAATCCTAAATGTGCATACAACTAACAACAGAACTTCAAAACACGTGGAGACAAAATGAGTATAACTGAAAGGATAAAGAGACAAATCAACAATCCTATTTGAAGACTTCAACACTTCTCTCTAATTGCTAGAACCCATGGAAGGCACGTAAGGATGTAGATGACCTGAAGAGCACTATCAACCAACTTGACCTAACTGGCATTTTCAGAGCATTCCACTCAACAGCAGCTGAACACATATTCTTTTCATGTGAGATTCTGCAAAATTAGAATACCCTTGAAGAATTATGTCTTGATCTCGGATCATCAGGAATGGATTTCCCCTCTTAGAAAGAGTCCGAGTTCTCCAGGACACCTGGGACAAACCTGAGCTTCTGTCAGAGATTCTCAGCATCTGAGTGCCAGTTACCTAGGAATCTTGTCTACATTTAGCCACCTGGAGACGTCCTCTGAGTGTCTGCGTGGTATTTCCCAGAGCATTGGTGGCTCTCTGTGGCTGCGTGCTGCTTTGATGGTTGCTGTGACTTCCAGGAAAGGAAGCACCTCCCCTAAATTAATGCTATATCGGGTACCCAATCTAAATCAGTTAATCAGGAAATCAGCAATGTACCAGGCCTAACAACATTCTTCTTACTCTCTCATCTTCTAAAACCTAGGGGGTTGTGTGTGGGTGCTCACGCACCTGTGTGTGCATATATCTTTGAGTCTTATAACCCGTTTCAGATATTATCAGGTTCGTGTGTCATCAGAAATACTGATCTGCTATGCAGTTGTGGTGGACAAAATGTGTTCATGTCTTAATGCCTGGAACCTGTAAATATGTGACCTTACATGGTAAAAAGGACTTTACAATGTGATTAAGTTAAGGACTTTGAGATGAGATTATCCCGTGTTATCTGGGTGGGCACCATGTAATCGCAAGGATCCTTATAAGAGGGAGACAGGAGATGACAGAATTGTTAACTCCACTTCTTGATACGCCCACATTCTACCAACAGTCTCCACCTTCAACTTATTGATGAGGAAGGGAAGACTGAAAGGAAAAAAAAAAACTATGGGTATCTTATTTTCCCCTTTCTTGCTGTGCCATTTTCAGCATAAGTGGTTAAAACTAATATAAAGAAGTAAGGGAAGTAAGACAGGACGTGGTAGGTCATTTGTGTTAGAACACTATTGCCTTCTTTCTGTAATCCCTGCTTATCAACTGGTTTAAGAGTCAGAGTTTCTGGAAGTATTTGCACTTCAGTACAGGACCTCAGCCCACAGGGAAACCAGAAATGATAATAAAGCACCACGATGCTAAGGGGTGCTCAGGGAGGAGGCATGGCAGAGGGACGGCAAAATCTTTTCTTCTGCTCACCATTAAAGGGTGAATTATAAAGAGGGAAGGAGACTTAGCAAACTCTGTATTTCATACTAAACAGTGTTCTGAATCGTGTCCCATCAATAGAATATGAATTTGAATAATTAATTTACTATATTTAACTAATTAAGGAATCATAATGGATTCGTTATCTTCATATCTACTTCCTCATCCTTACCTTGAAAAAATTACCTCCTACTAGGCATTGTCAGGCTCAGGAGATGAGCCAGTTACTGCACTCGGGCATTCAATTTAACTCAAAATTTCCTGGCAGCTAATGTGAGAAAAATAAAACTATAAAGGGAAAGAAATAATTATGTCATAAACAGTCTTCCATTCACTCGTTTGTAAAAAAGCTCAGAACAAGAAATAAACAGAAAGGTTACTATCTCGTTCAGGACGATCGACAGCTTATTACTCATTCTTGATTTGGGAGAACGTATGTAAGTATAACTGGCTTATTGGGGTATAAACATGAGCTGGCTTTATTTTTTCCAGGGCCTGCCCCCTGACTGTGGTTGGTTGAACTTCCCTTCCTTACTTGGTGGTAGCTCTCTTAACAAAGTCTCATTTTGATTTCTTCATTTTTCATTGTCCTCCTGGCTGCGAGAAGTCTCTCATGCCAGTATGTAAGATGCAGTTCTGCTCAAGTCTTCATCCTTGTATGTGACCCTCCTGTCTCCTTACTCGACCAGGTGGGGTTGCCACCCTCCTGGGGCTTGTCCTTGCGTCCCTGGAGAGCCCCGACTGGGTGCCTCCTGTGAGGCAGGAATTTCAACACCGGTTACTTGTGGGGTGAGTCCGACAGCCCTGAAGGAATCTGCCCGCAATCCTGTCACCCGGTGTGGGAGAATTAGATCCTGGGACCATCTGCCTTTATCCCACAGTCTGAGTCCCTTCAGGCAGCTCTAACAAAAAAAATACCGTAGACTGGGTGGCCCCAACAATATTTATTTCTCACAGTTCTGGAGGCTGGGAAGTCTGAGATCAAGGTGCCAGCCAGTTCGGTGCCTGGTGAGGCCTGCTTCCCCGGTCACAGACGGCTGTCTTCTGCCATGTGTCCTCACGTGGCAGAAGGGACAGGGGCTCTTTCTGGGGTCTCTCTTGTAAGAGCACTAGTCCCATTCATGAGCGCTCCACCCTCATATCTAATCACCTCCCAAAGGCCCCCACCTCCTAATACCATCACATTGGGGGTTCAAACATACGAATTTGGGGGGCACAACTTTTTATGGCATAAGTACATGCACTGAAACAATATCATCAATCATCAATGATCAATTATCAATAACCTGCCTTTATCTTGGGCCTTCTGCTAAGATCCACTGTGGATACAAAGGATTTAAATATATTTTCCTGCAGGCAAAATGATACAGATTAATAGGGAGACTGATCAAATATGTTAACAAAACAATGCAGAAAAACAAACAAATACCCAGAACAATTATACTAGCTTATGCTTTAATGTTATACCCATTTTGCAGAAGAAGGAACAAGGCATATTTCTTTAAATGGTATGAAGCTAGATGTCTTCACTTTACCCATGTTTTAAAATTATTTTATTTGGAAATAATTTACAGAAGAGTTGCAAAAATAGGAGAGAATCTCTATATATCCCTCACCCAGCTTCCCGTAATGCTAACATCTTCCATGACCATGATACAATGATCAAAACTAAGAACCTAACATCAATGTAATACTATTTACTAAAATATGGACTTTTTGAATGCTATCGTTTCCCCCCCCACTAATGTCCTTTTTCTGTACCAGGATCCAATCCAAGGTACCATTATTCTATATTCAGTCATCAGGCCTGCTTGGTGTCCTCTAATCTGTGACAGTTTCTTAGTGTTTCCTTATATTTTGTGACTTTTAACACTTTTAAGAGTTCAAGTCAGGTATTTGTAGAATGTTATGCAATCTGGATTTTCCGATTTTTTTCTCATGATAAGAATGGGGTTTTGTGGATTTGGGGGAAGAATACTACGGAGGTGAAGTACCCTTCTCCTTGATCATATAACAACTTGACTTATTACTGGTGAGTTAGCCTTGACCACATGGTTAAGATGGTGTCTGCTCTAAATTTGCACGCCCACCCCCCTCACCCCCCACGCCTGCACCGGCCGTTCCATATTCTATTTGTTAGAAAAGAGTCACTAAATCCAGCCCACACTCCAGACTGAAGGAGAGGGGAATTAAGTTCTGGGGAAAGTATTGACTAATTTGTGGACGGACATGTGTCAGAGTCATGATAGCAATGTATAAATATTTGGGGGGGGGGATCTTTGAAGCTATGCAACGATCTTAGTTCTCTTTAAAGTGTCATCCACTAATTTTAGCACTCATTAGGACTTGCGTACAGCAATTATTCTGTGGTGTCTTTTTCTTAATTAAGCTTGTATTTTAATTCCGGTATAGTTAACATACAGTTCTGTGGTATCTTAGTAGTGATTTTGTTTTCCCCTCATTTCTTCTATATTTATTATTCAGAATTCAGCAGGAAGGAAGATTTCTCCCTCTCCTCCATTTTATTCACTTACTGGTATGGACTCAAGAATATTTATTTTGTTGAGTTACAAATTTATATCATAATTATTTATTTTTATTGCTGAAATTGTTCTAGCTTTGCCCCTGGGATCTCTTAGATGGCTCCTTTCAACATACCTTCATATTTTCTTGTGTTTTCTTCCCCTGACACCCTCCTTTTTCTTTCTTTCTTTCTTTCTTTCCTTTCTTTCTTTCTTTCTTTTTTTTTAAATCTACAAGATGGTCAAGCCCCCCCTCCTGTGTTTTCCCTACCCAGCCCTAGAACTGAGAATGATATTTAGAAACCAAGACCTGGGTGCTAAGTGTGTTCATTGCTTCTAGGGTGTCAATTCTTCTAGACCCTCTAGCGGACAGAGCTAAGAAATATATGTCTGCTAGCCTATGTATACACATATCTATATTTATTTGTGTATCTATTTATTTGTGTATCTATTCATATATATATTTAAATAAACAAGAGTTCAAACTATACCTCCAAATCTAATCCAGCACCACAGAATTCATTGTAGCCTTTCTGATAATGAGAAACCTGTCCATCCTTATCTACATTGACTTATTTGTTCAAGCTACATTTAAAGTACTTTCAGAATTGCTAACCTAGGGGCGCCTGGGTGGCTCAGCCGGTTAAGCGTCTGCCTTCGGCTCAGGTCATGATCCTGGAGTCCCGGGATCGAGCCCCGCATCGGGCTCCCTGCTCAGCGGGGAGCCTGCTTCTCCCTCTCCCACTCCCCCTGCTTGTGTTCCCTCTCTCGCTGTGTCTCTCTCTGTCAAAAAAATAAATCTTTAAAAAAAAAAAAAAAAAAAAAAAAAAAAGAATTGCTAACCTATATTCCTCTGAGATACGAATTTACCAACTAGAGTACAGTGTTTATGTAGTTTTTGTCTTTCTTATAGTCTTCAGTGAAAACATTGTTTTCTAAAGTTAATTAGGCCAGCTCCTTTTCCCCTCACCCCTTCAGTGAGGCTATATCATATATCTATAATATAGTTAGGTTTATTTGTCTTAATCTGCATTCCATCCTGGCTTCCCCTGACAGCATGGTTAATTTAAAAAATTTACATACAATAAAAGTCACTGGTTGTGCTATATAGTTTTTTGTGTTTTGACAAATTCAAAGTCCTGTATCCACCACCACAATACCAATACAGAGGAGCCCCATTAACCTAAAAATTCCTTTGTATAAACTTCCTTTCCTTAAACCTGGCAACTACTGATCTGTTTTCCATCCCTATAGTTTTGTCTTTTCCAGAAGGTCATATAAATGGAATCATACAATATGTAGATTTTTAGGTCTAGCTTCTATCACTTAGCAAAGTGCTTTTAAGATTTGTCTAGGTTGTTGCACAAACCAATAGCTCATTCCTTTTTACTGCTGAGTGTAGATAACCTTATTACATGGACATACCACAGTTTGTCCATTTATCTGTTGAAGGACATCTGGGTTATTTCTAGTTTTGGCAATTGTGAATAAAGCTGCTATAAATAGCATATATGGGCTTTTGTATGAACTCAAGTTTTCAATTCTCTTGGATAAACACCCGGGAGTGGAATGGCTGGGCTGTATAGTAAATGTATGTTCATAAGAAACTGCCAAACACTTTTCCAAAGTGGATATTGTGCTTTGCAATGAATGACCATTCTGCTGTCCCACATCTTCTCCAGCATTTGGTTGTCCACACTCTTTTTCAACTGGAAACTGCTGCACCACCCCAACTCCGACTTCTTTCTTCTTTTTGGCCTCTGCCTGGATTACAAACTAATCTGTATTCTCGCTTTGCATCCTGCTGGTATTCACAAAGGTAATGATTTTAGACTCCCCATGTTTCCACTGTGCACGAAAGAACTATCGAATTTTTAATCTACCAACCGTCCTATAAGGCAGTTTCAGCAAACATTCTTAGGTTGTTATGAGAGAGAACAGCACCATGCTTGAGAAGAATTCCTTTCTGGCTTTCTCAGAAGTTGGCTTTTGTGAGTTCCTTAACTTCTGTGTATCTCAGCCTCTTTGTAGTCTACTTGAACGAACCCACTGAAATACAAGGATGGTCAGTGGTCTTCATCAGACCCTATAGTGGCCATGGATCCAGCAGAATAGACTACTCCACAGAGCTCTCCAACTGGATGCCTGGGTCCCAATTCATCAGGAAGGAGCTATGTGTCTGGCCCCTGCTTGGAGTCCCTGTCTCCTGACTTGGCAGCTAGCACATTCTCATAGTCGCTAGAAATGTCATTTGACATTTCTTCTCCATGTTTTATCTGACTAGTCTCACTCTGTGCAGATGGCTGACAGGTCACATGTTCCCCTAGAGCCAGGAACGTCCCTGACTGCATGACAAATTGGATGTGGGTACCTGGACCATCCGTCCAGCCTTCCACATGGTCTGTGTTTGAGGAGGTCACTTCTTCCTCCACCTGCTGTTGGTTTCCAATGGTAGGTGCTGATGGGACATTTTCATAATCTCTGTAGCACTGGAAAGCCATCTGGGGCTGCTTCCCCTGGAGGGTCTCCAGATTCAACCCTGCCATATTGACGTAGTCATTTGAGGTCTCAGAAGAACCATCCTCATCGCTGAGTGGATCATCGCTCTCAGATCTTGGAGACCAAAAACAGGTTCGGTCACTGGCATTCCCACAGCCCTTGTCTTTTTCCTCAGTAAACTCCAGCTCCTGGGCATCTGGGAGGGCAAAGAGGTTCGCAGGGGAGCTGTTGGTAGAAGCTAGAGACTCAGCAATCTCCTCTGCTATGGGGACATTGATGTAATCTCTCGAATCCTCTGAAGAAATGCTCAGGCAGTCTCGGGCTGCTTTGACATTGACATAGTTTGCTGAGGGAGTGAGGTCCCCACACATCTGGAGCCCCGTGGCATTGTCATAGATGCCCACTGCATAGCTGTTGGCAGGATTATGGTCTCTGTGCAGCCAGAGGGCATTGGCTGCTTGGGAGGGCTATAAGCAAGAAGAGAAAGCCGGTGACAGGACGGAAGCAGAAATACGGGCGAAGCCTTTCTACTTCCCCACCCAGTACCACTATCTGATCGCTCCTTCACTCGGTTCTTCACCTTGGAGAAAATCTCTAAGTCGGGGGTCTCCAAATGCAAAGCCCTAGATCCTAGGCAGGTATGAGCAAAGTGGCTAAGCTTAAGGAAGGCAACAGTGTAAATGTGGTGATCAATTGCTATTGGTTTTTGGCCACAGTGGGTGGCTGTTCAATGGGGAGTCTCTGGTGGGGGGTGGATATTATAAACTGGAGCGAGCCTGCTGCCTCAGAGCCCATTGAGGGGCGATATAGCACAGTGGCCAAAAGTAGCGACTCAGGGTGCAAATCCCAGCCTCGCCACCCTGTGCGGAGTTTGGGCAAGTTACTGAATCTTCGTGCCTTACTTCCCTAGCATCTAAGACGGGGACGATCAAAATATCTACATAATGTGGTTTCTGTGAGGAGCAAGTGTATGACTATGTGTAAAGTGTTTGGATTAGTTGCTGGCGCATCGAAAACACGGACACATGCTTGCCCTTATTATTAAAGGGGCAGCTGACATACAGACTCAGCCCAATATTGCCATTCGGGGCTGCCAGTCTGCTGTTTCCAGAACTTCTGACTTTTCACGAAAAGCTGGACATCTGCACTTTAATGTGAAATCTTTTTGATTTTTAGATGTTGGCCACTGGTTCCAAATGTTCTTCATGCACTACAGAGTCCAAGCCAAACATGTTGTGGCCTCATATGGGGTTGGGACAAAGCGCTGGAACTCACTTTGGCAGTGAAATTCCCTCTTCCCTGCATGTTACCAGCTGTGCGGACTTGCTCCTCCACGAAGTCCCGGAGGTGAGAGCAGAGCCCAAGCGTGGGACAGGTGGGAGCAGGACTAGGAGGTGGCCGCAGGGTTCCTGAACTCAAAGCTCTGGGTGATGAGAGGCTGGGAAGCAACAGGCTCAGCAGCAGTGCTAGGACTGTGTTTTCTTGAAATGACCACAAACTGAAGCGACTGATTCTTTGAGGAGCAAATGAGAACTTATCTATGGAGATGAGCCCCCTGCGCTTCCAAGTCCTCCCTTTACTGTCTCTGTGGTCTCTGCCGCACAGCGTTGTGGGACCCCTCCCTGGGGCTGCCTTCAGAGCCAGATCATAAGACACATAGGGTCATTGTTATTCACCATACCACTCCCCCGGTAACCTCCGAAAAATATCCCCCGTTTGATCAAACACTTTCTACACCAGGGACAGTCCTCAATGACTTACAAATATACCTGTTGAAGATAACTGAAACAGTTTGCCACAGGCCCCAGAAGGAATTCCCCAAGCAGGGTTTTAAGGGTGCTTTGAGCACCAACAGCATTGTTGGAATATTTGTATACCCTCCTGAGGTGATTACTTGGAAGGGGACAATATTTGGATAAGCTGTTACCTGTCTTTGTTAAAACAATCCATTTCAGTTCTAACATCATGTCCTTGAATACATGTGCCCTGGTGCCTTGCCCCAAATCCTGAACAATTGTTCCTACCTTTCTCAATTTTTCTCCCTGGGCAGTAGGGAGGTCCTGAGGCTAGTCTTCCCAACTTATTAATAGGGCCACAGGGCAACTGCCAGGGGACATGCTGTTTGCCAGGAAACGAGATCTGCGACCTGAACTTGTTTACTTCAGTTCTGCCAGAGACATGTCGTTTCTCCCAAGGGGCTTGTCCCTTCACTTACCACAGGCTCCGAAGGAGGTCTATCAGAATTTCTGGAGAGGAGGCTCTCGGTGCTGAAAATACGGTTACTCCTCGACTGACGTCTCCCTAAAAGAACAGAGAACAAGTCCTGGAGCTAGTAGGCCAGTCCTGTGAACGCTTCAGCCTAAACAGTCCCCGCGGTGTGGTGAAGTGGGTTTGTGCGGTGTCTGGTGTTTGGGGCTGATGTTCTTTGGCGAGAGGGTCAGAGCTAGGGGGAATGATGTGCTCTGAGGCCTGGAACTGTCCTCGGTTTCTAGCAAGGACTGGAGGACACTAACTAGCACACAGGGTTGGTTGCTCCTGGGGCAAACCTTCACCACCTGTAATGCTCGAGGCCATGTTCTCCTTCTGTATGTCTCCCCCGTCCCTAGACACACCCATCCGTCTTTTGCTAACTTCATATCAAGATAAAACCACCCCCCCTTTGTAGACAACCCCGAGCTCCCTTTTTAGAGCTCTCTAGGCCCCCAGTGGAGTTACATCCTGCTTCTGTCTAGCTCATCCTCCTCCATGCTCCCTGAAGGGCAGAAAAGTCTGAGTGTTTAAAGAAAGCTGCCTCTGGGTGGTGAGAGGTACATTCTGGGTGCAGAAGTTTGGTGATATCTGTGCTCCATGGATTAGAAAGAAAAACCTACCCAGGTCTTCTTGCCTCTGGGGCAAGGAGTCATAAATATTTTTGGTTCCTTGTCTGGGTCGAGACAGAGAGAGTAAGGGCATGACGGTAACTCGGAAGTGAGGAACTTGTCCTGCAAGGTAATGAGAGAAATGGGGAATCACGGCAGGGGCCACTGTTACAGAATGTGGGGGCCCTTGGGGATGAGATAGTCCCTGAAAATATTTCCCACCCTCACTATGTATCATAAAAAATACATTTTCACACTTACCCAATTCCCTTTGAACTAGAAGACTTGGTACACAGAAGCAGGAGGAAGAAATGGGGTGTGTGTGTGTGGTGGGGGGGGCGGTGTGGGCATGAATATGTCCCAGGGCGATGATTTTCAAAATGGAACTCCAATCAGCACTGAGCCTTTTGGAACCACAGCTGAGACCCTCGAGCGAGACAATGACCAGTGTGTCAGGGAAGAACAGAGGATTCCCCAGTGCAACAGTTTATCCCTGGAGAATAAACTGGGCTTTGAATGCCAGGCTACATGACTGATGCTCGAGTGTCTCAACCTGGGACAATCAAGGGACTCACGGTGCTTCTTCCATTTATTCCAGTTCCACAGGCTGTAGAAAATCATAGTGGTCAGGAGGATGGCAAGGAATCCTGCAAACCCAGAAAAGATGGCGCTGTTCTGGTCCTTCTCTCTGTGAGGAAAAACAAGTGCCATGCCCCAGGCTGTAGGAGGCTGAGGAGGTGAGAGGAGAGGCTTCCTGCAGGAATTGGAGCCCGAGGACTTGGAATGGGAGCCAGGTGAAGGAAAGCTGAGGTGGGTGGGCTCTTGGCTAGAGAGAGGGTCTTCTTTGTGGACAGAGGGGAACTGGACACAGGAGAAGGGCGCTGTCCCTTTTGAATACCTACTGGATGCCAAGGGTTTGTGTGTGTGTGAAACTCATTTCATCTTTACAACAGTCTCATCTCTCCTTGTGGCCAGAAACCCAAGATTTAGACCAAGAAAGGCAGAGTAATATATCAAAGATCACACAGGTAGGAAGGAGCAAAGATGGAATTTGAGTCTAGGTCTATTGGGGCCCAAAGACCATGCTCTTCCTGCCGCACCACCCTGTCCTCCAAACTTGCAAAATCGGGTTCATCTGCCCTCATCCCGTACTCCCTACTCGAGCATCAATCATGTACTGCTCCTGGGCGTCCTGTCTTGCGTGGAAGGAGGGGTTACTCGCCATACAGTGAGGGAGCTCCTCTGTGACAGAGTCTGGCTTGCGGGCGTTTGAGCAACCCCCATGTACGGACTTGTGAAGCTGGTCTCCAAGCAACACTTGCAGTTTTGTGGAATGTAACCGATGCAAATGCAAGGCTGAGTTCCTGCTGCTTGTGACTCCCTGACAGGGCTGGTGTTACTGCTGTGCTTTGCCTACTGTAATAAGAAGTAGCCAATGGAGGCTACAGCAGGAATCATTAGTGGACCTAAATATTAGAAACCAGATCAACTACCAGGGAAGATTTTTGTCCTCCTGAGTCCTAGGCTTGTTTATACTGGACATTTTATACTGGACATTTCCGCTAGGCTGCCCAATGGACATCTCAAACCGAGTAGGTCTGAAATAGAATGGCTCTTCTTCTCCCAGAAGCCTGCTTCTCCTCTGGTGTCTCCCATCACCTAGTGGTTCAGTCAGAAATCTTGGAACCATCCTTGACTGCTCCTTTTCTTTCACACCTCACTTCCAGTCAACCAGCAGATCCTGTCTGCTCAACCCTGGGCATCTTTCCCAAACCCAATCACCCCTCACTCCTCCACTGCCACCCTCCCCCCGCCCCAAGCCACACAGACATTTGCACTAACATCCTTTTTTTTTTTTTTAAGATTTTATTTATTTATTTGAGAGAGAGAATGAGAGAGAGAAAGCACATGAGAGGGGGAGGGTCAGAAGGAGAAGCAGACTCCCTGCTGAGCAAGGAGCCCGACGTGGGACTCGATCCCGGGACTCCAGGATCATGACCTGAGCTGAAGGCAGTTGCTTAACCAACTGAGCCACCCAGGCGCCCTTGCACTAACATCCTTAATGGTTGCCTTGCTTTCCACTCTTGACCCCAACATCCTATCTTCACATCGGAGCCAGCATGATCCTCTTAACAGTAAACCAGATCAAGTCTCCTCTCTTCTTGTGACCCACATGACTTTGATCACACTCGGGATAACAGCCACAGTTCCTACCCAGTGAGGATGTCATGGCACCTTATGTTCTGGCCTCTGTCTACTTTCTTCTTCTTCTCTTTCTCTCTTTTTTTAAAAGATTAATTTATTTATTTGAGAGAGAGAGAGAGCACAGGGCAGAAGGAGAGAGAGCACAGGGGAGAAGGAGAGAGAGAGAGAATCCCGAGCAGAGCCCATGCTGAGCGCAGAACCGACGCGGGGCTTGATCCCACAACCCTGGTCATGACCTGAGCTGAAATCAAAAGCCAGATGCTTAACTGCCTGAGCCACCCAGGTACCCCTCTGCCTACCATCTGACCTCATTTCCCACCACTTTCCTTCTGACTTCAACAGCCAGGACTCCTGGCCGGTCCCTGTCCATGCACAGCAGTCCTGCCTCTGACCTGCAGCTCCCTCTCCCAGGTGTCTCAGTCCCTCATTTCCCTCAGGAGTCTTCGGAAATGTCACCTGCTCAGACAGGTCTATTACTCTCAGGCCCCTTAACTCTGTTCTGGTTTTTCTTCATACATTTAAGACTGATTGACATTATGTTATACTTCATTTGTTTATCTGTTCATAACTGACTTTCCCACTTGACTGTAAGCTCCAGGAAGCCATGGGCTTGTCTATCCTGTTTATCTGGTGCCTGGAACAGTGCCTGGCACTTAGCAAGGGCAGGATGAATTATCTGAATGAATGAGTGAATTAATAAACATGAATGAGCACCGAAGTAGATATTTTGGGGGGACTTCAGGGTTTTGATAGCTTTATGAATTCATTCCCCATCAATGCCCCTGTCCACCTGCAGGGACATATATTTGTTTGTTATGGTAATCACATTTATTTCCCTAAATGACAGTGATTTTAAATTTATTATCGCTGAGTTCCACTCTTAGCGCTGAGATTCAAACTTACAACTGTTGCTGAAGCTTCCACTGCTGTTGGACTTTTTCTTTTTGTTAGTATGACCCTGAAGGTTTTAGCAGTAAAATTTATAGCCGCGATTAGTTCTGTGAGATTTTGTATCCTAAAGACATATCTTTATCACATCTATGATTACATTTTCCACTCATGGAAAGTTTTTAGAACCTGGAAACACATCGTTGAAAAAAAACAGGCCTTTTGTTTCCATCATGGTGGGACCTAGTTTTTTTTTTTTTTTTTTTTTTTTTGTGGGGGGAGAGTGGTTGTGGGGACCTGAGACCGGAAAGATTGAGGACAGTGATTGGGGCCTCTGGGAGGTGAGAAATCTAACCAGGCCAGGCAGCGAGGTCTAAGGAAATCCTGTGTTAACACGGCTGTCCCTCTTCCCCCTGCAACTCCCATTTCTCTTCAATACCTATTCCTTTCCTCCCAGCAGTCCTGAGCAAGCTTCTCTAAGCCTAGAATTTGGTGGTCTTAGTGGACCTGAGCGTGGTTGTGAGGGCTGGGAGTGCTGTTGGGGTAGAAGCCCCTGGGGTCAGCCAGGGCTGTCTGTCTAAATCAGGGGAGGGTGGAACTCACCACCCCGAGTCACTCACCTGTCCAGGCTGCTGGAAGTTACCCACAGAGTCCTGGCATCCGAGGTCCTCCCTCTGATTTCTGAAAGGGCCGGGGTGATCGAATCCATTGTCACGGCAACCTCTCTGGCTCCAGCTGCTCCTCCTAAGCCTTCTCTTAATTATCAACAGCTAACACATGTTGCCACTTCTCCTGGCTCTTCCTAAGTTGCCATCCCCCAGGAGAAAAGGCAAAATTGGTTGTTTTACATACCATCGCAACCACTTTAAGTAGATAAGACTGATAGAAACCCTCCTTGTCTTCGTTTTCAATCTTTCTAGAACTTTCTTTCCCCCCAACCTTGCATCTACCTGGCCTCTCCCCCTGAAATGTCAGGCTGCGTGGCCCCAGACACAAAAATGACAACAGGTTTCGTTCTACCTGGATGTGGCTACAGTGTCCACCGCGGGAGGCAAGACCTCAGCCGGGTGCGGTGCTCCCCAAGAGAGGTGGTTCAGGGAGACGCTATGCTCTCAGCCTTCTGGTGGAAGGGTGAGGGGTAGAGAGGGGGAAACTGCCAAGAGGCTCGAGAGAGACTCTGTGAGAAGCTCATCCTCCCCCAACCCCCAAAGCAGACAGAAGAGAGCAAACATTTGCCAGAATGGAAACAGAGAGTCGTCACAGGAAACGACACCACCAATGTGCTAATGAAGCATGGGGCACAGGAAATGCTGCTCAGCTATCATAAGGGAGAAGAAAACATGTCTGCACCCCCTGTTCCCGGGGTTGGCCGGAGCGCCGTGGTCTGTAGGGAGTGGGACTCAAGATGGGGCAAGGTGGTGGGGGGTTCGTGATTGTTTCTCTGGGTTTCTGAGACAGGGGGCAGGCTGTTTTCACTGACACTTCCCGGGTGATTTTGACAAAGCTGGTCTATGTTTCACATTTTGAGAATCTCTGGGTATGACGCTCAGAATGGAGCCGATGCTGGGTCAGCGGGGGCCCTGGAGGCCATTCCTTCCTGAAGCCCTGCCCTTCTTGGCCCCTGGCTGCTGGCTGTCTCTGCAGGACTCTTCTGGAGATCCATCCCAGTCCTGCTTAGTGTGCACCTGTCTCGGAGGCTGGATACCTCATTGCCCGTGTATACCCCAAGTGTCCCAAACTTAGACAGTTGTTCAAAATTTGTTTCTAGCTCCCTTCTCTTTCCCTTACCCATCTCCCGAAGCTCTTTGCATCTTGGCAGCGTCCAAAGAGAAGGGGTCACTAAGACTTTTATGAGGCTGTGAAGGGCCTCTGACCTGGCTTTCCACAAGGAAACGGACTCCCAGGGGGCCGGCACGGAAGACAGCCAGGGCCTCAGCACCATGCCTCTCTCCCATCTCTTCCCGGTGGACACCAAGACCCCTGGCTTCCGGGGGCTGCCCACCCCTGCCCTGCACGTCCAGGCTCTCACAGGGCCCCCAGGCTACTGCTGCAGGTGACTCCTGGCTGGCTCTCCCCAGAGCTCTGCCTTCCAAGCCCTTGCTGCCCTCCCTCCACGTGGCCTTACCTGGCAGGAAGCAGACGTGGTTCGGAGGCAGCCGGTTCGAGAGCTGGAACCTGGGTCTCTGCCCGCTTGTCCTTCGGAATGGGTCTGAGTAGAACTAGGACTCCTCAGGAGAAGAAGATCCCTCGCTCCATGGCCCCAGCGGCCGGGACTAGTGGGCGAGAGAGCAAGGCTCCTCACGCCTGTCCTGAGCCACTGGTTCCAGCAGAAGGCTGTGTGTGAACTGGGAACTTGGGAGGTGGTACAAAGAGAAGGGCCAATAGAACCAAACCTTAGAACCCTGACTGCTACTTTAAAAAAAACATTTTTTTTTTTAGAAGAAATTCTTCTGCGTGATCATCTTAAGACCTTGCTTCTCTTATCTACCCAGAGTGCTTGAGTCAGACTAATCAATCTTCCCTCCGGTCTCCCTCCTCCCTCCTCCCCTCACACTTGAGGGAAACTGCCTTCTGAGAGGAGGCTCTGCA